GTATAGGTTGAGCATTGCATGGTGTACTAGTTGCTTGGACTGATTGTTTCCATGCATCTTTAGTTTTATTTTTTGTTCTTTGCTCTGGATGAGGAGAGACCCATCACTGCATCTAGATGGCTGCTTGCAAGCTTTTAAGATCCCAGTTGCTACTCACCAAAGTACGATGTGGAACAATGTTTTGTGTAGTATGTTTTGCCAATTGAGCTTGATGTTCCTTAAATTGCTGCTTTTAGGTGCCATCATGTAATTTCCAACTCTTAGCAACCTTATGTACAATTAAAACACTGCCCAGTCCTGTGCCATCCTCACAATTGTTTGAGCCACATTGTTACAGCCATTGGGTTAATCCATCCTGTTGAGGGGCTTTCTCTTTTTTTGATAACACTTTACTTTACCAAGCAAGATGTCCTTCTCCAGGGAATGGTCCCTTCTAACAACATGTCCAAAGTACATAACATGAAGTATTACCATCCCACCTTCTAAGGAGCATTCTGGCTGAGCTTCTTCCAGGACAGATTTGTTTGTTCTTCTGGCAGTCCATGGTGTATAGTCATTATTCTTTGCTGACACCGTAATTCAAAGGCATCAATTCTTCATCTTTCTTATTCATTGTCCAGCTTTCACATACCTGTGAGGTGATTGAAAACACCATAGCTTGCATTAGGCATGCCTTAGTCCTTAAAGTGACATCATTGCTTCTGAACAATTTAAAGAGGTCTTTTGTAGCAGAATTGCCCAGTATAATACAACATTTGATGTCCTGACTGCTGCTTCCATGGGCTTTAATTGGGGATACAAGTAAAATGAAATCCTTGACAATTTCAATATTTTCTGTATTTATCATGATGTTGCTTATTGGTCCCATTGTGAGGATTTTTGTTTTCTTTATGTTGAGGTGTAATCCACACTGAAAGCTATAATCTTTGATCTTCATCAGTAAGTGCTTTAAGTCTTCTTTACTCTTCAGCAAACAAGGTTGTATCATCTGCATGTTGCAGGTTGTTAATGAGTTTTTCGTCAGTCCTGATGCTGTGTTCTTCATGTAGTCCAGCTTCTTGGATTATTTGCTTAGCATATAGATTGAATAAGTATGGTGAAAAGATACAATCCTGCTGCACACCTTTCCTGATTTTAAACAACGGAGTATTCCCTTATTCTGATCATACGACTGCCTCTTGGTCTATGTACATGTTCTGCATGAGCACAATTAAATGTTCTGGAATTCCCATTCTTGGAAATGTTATCCATAATTTGTTATGATCCACATAATCAAATGCTTTTGAATAGTCAATAAAACACAGGTAAACATCTTTCTGGTATTCTTTGCTTTAAGCCAAATCTATCTGACATCAGCAATGGTATCCCTTGTTCCACGTCCTTTTCTGAATCTGGTTTGAATTTCTGGCAGTTCCCTGTTGATGTACTGCTATAACCATTTTTTAATTACTTTCAACAAAATTTTATTTGTTTGTGATATTAATGACTGAGAGCTCTGGTGGCATATTGCCTAAGGCATTTGACTGCTAATCAAAAGGCTGGCAGTTCAAACCCACCAGCCACTCCTTGGAAGGAAGATTGGGCAGTCAGTCTACTTCCATAGAGATACCCCATCTCAGAAACCCAAGGAGAGGTCGCTGTGAGTCAGATCGACTCAACAGCAGTGAGTTGGGTTTGGTTTGGTGATATTTATGATACTGTTTCATAGTTTCCACATTCTGTTGGATCACCTTTCTTTGGAATGGGCACAAATATGGATCTCTTCTAGTTGGTTGGTTAGGTCACTGTTCCAAATTTCTTGGCATAGATGAGTGAGTCCTTCCAGCATTGCATCCATTTCTTGGAACATCTCAACAGGTGTTCCATCAATTCTTGAAGGTTTATTTTTCTCCAGTGCCTTCAGTGCAGCTTGAACTTCTTCTTTTAACACCATCAGTTCTTGGTCATATGCTATCTCTTAGAATGATTGAACATTGACCAATTCTTTTTGGTATAGTGACTCTGTATT